ATATTACTCTACACTACTAACAATAGGAAATAAGAACTCTGATTACTAACTATGCAAAGTATAATAAGGCCGGGTCACAAACAAATCACTCTTAAACGAGACTATTGAACTGGAAAACTGAATAAAGAAATATGCTCGAATAAATTAGAGAACTAGTTGCTAAACTAATTTGCGCCATCCGACATCTTAGCCCAAGCCATACGGGTGTCTCATTCATTATGTCACAGATATTTGGGGTTAATTTATTTTCAGGCACAAAAATTCATTTCGAAGTGAAATTACCAAATTAAGGAATGAAATGATTGGAATACCCCTTTAATGAGTAAATTTCCAAGTGAAATTAGGCAAATTTAGGAGTGAAATGATTGGAATAGCCCTTTAGGAGCAAAACCTCGAATTTTCCACAGAAGTGAGATTTCATAATTTGCTCAAAAATACAGGGTTGAAATGTATCAGGTGCCATAAGAAACTCAATTTTAGAGAAAATGACCAGATTTCCCTTCTAAGGCCAAATATTAACATTACCCAGGAAAGGTTTAATCCGGATGAGAAATGAAATTTCATGATTTGTGCATACATATAAATCGAAACAAGTAACTATTAAGAAAGAAATCAATTTAGCATAAAATGATCAGATGACCCTCCTAGGGCACCTTGGTTCAGCTGATGCGGAACAATTTGATCTAGTTTGTCTTCACTCTAACAAGGAAGCTAACATCTGATCACAGTCCATTACTATGGTGCTGAATCACTTTTGAGTGGAACCTCGTTTCAGCTCCTCAAGAGAAAAACTGTGGGGCAATTATTTTTTCGTAAAATGGTCAACATGAGCAGAGAAAGACAAATATCATATGGAATAAACTTGAAACTGTTTTTCCAATGAGAGCACCAGTATGCCATAACATAAGCATAACTAACCCAATGGTTTCGAGATTGCCAGAGTCAAAAAAAAAAAACAGTGTTTGGGTGAGTACTCTTTATTTTTCTGGTTTCGCCGTACTAACCCAAGAGAGAGAACATTAATCTAGCATCACAGGTTTGGAAGTAACATTCACCATAAAAAGTTTCTAATTTTTTGCTACAGTTTGAATTTATTAGATTTTCAAGAACTTGACAAATGATATCAATTGCTAATAAGCACAGCAAAGAAGTTAAAATTAAGATGACCAAAATTATTGGATGAATACACTTGACGGTGATAATAGTAATAGCTTAAACTTAAATAATTGTATGTTAGCGTTAACGAAAAGAGAGAGAAAAAGAAGAGAGAAAGAAAGAGAGTATAAAACAATAAAATGTGTATGGTGTGAATTGCCGACATCCTATCACTTATTTATATTAGATTAATATTGAAAACAATTACAATATTAGAAAAATAGAAAATACTAGGAAATCACATAGTAGGAAAGTAGATCAATAAGAAAGCAACATAACGGGAAAATAGAACAATAACAAAGTAACACTCAAGACACTTCCTCTCAAGCTAGAGCATAGAGATAAAAAATGTCCAACTTAGAATAAAGACTACGAAAGATGGACTGAGCCATTAGTGTGGTGAGAAAATCACTGAATTGACCGCAATATCTCCACGCAGAAAATAAGAATGATAAAATCAATTTTTGTGAGACTGTTTCAGACCATTCAATAATCTTTTTAATCAACACTCACTACCACGATACACTCCCAGAGCAACAAATTCAGTTGGTCGTTCTATGTGAAGTCTAAGACATCTCTTCGGTTTTCTAAAGAAGCAATTAGTGACTACAACAAAATAAACAATAACAAATGATGATCATGACCACAGAGAAGAAAAGAACACGGCAATGACAAAGGAGAAACACAACACCACCGTTGTGGGCAAATTTTAGTAACAAAAATACTACATGTACTTAATTCGTAGAATTAATTTAGAAACTTAATGCATTGTTACCATTGAATAAGCAAAGAGATTGCATTCAATGCTACGACTCACTACTAATTTAATGATGGCACTATATTAAATCCTCAAATTAGATCCCTAAATTAAATCTCAATAGTATTTCTCTTTTAAAAATAGTAAAATTAAAAAGTTAAGAGGTAACCCAGTGCACACTGCTACTGCAAGTTCTGGGGATGGTCAAAAATATATAGTCTTACCCCCGTATGTTAGAAGATATTTCCGCAACTAGAATCGTTGGCGCCTAGGTTATAATGGAACAGCTTTATCTTTACATTTGCTCAACCTAATTTTCATATCATAAAAATGTTGCATGATAGTCTTAATATTCAATACATCCAAAATAACAATGGTGAAAGAGAGGCGAAAAGTTATAGGGAGAGAGAACGAAGAACTTCAGAATTATCTCTTAAACATATGTTGAGAGATTGAACCAACTAAACATTATGTAATTTCACTTAATTGAGAGTAAAAAATTTTAATCTAAATGTGAAAAATGATTAAATAAATTTTCATGGGTGCATTACGTAAGTTCACTTAATTGAGAGTAAAAAAATTTAATCTAAATGTGAAAAATGATTAAATAAATTTTCGTGGCTGAGTTTTTTTGTGGAGGCAAATTTTGAATATATTAAAATCTATATAAAAAAATTTGTTGCAAAAAGAAATTGAGCAGTGACAGTTGGCCCCACAAAGGCCAAGTGGCTATGCGCTGCCCCAGACTATAACAAACCACATACAATAATAAGTAAAACAACAACAGTCGAAAACAGGATAAATTAGACAGAATCGAAGTTGAATTAGCCAAAAATAATTGTAATGGGATGAAAAATCCAAAATTGGCACTGAACCAGTCAGAAAACGTTGAGCCGGTACTAAACCGTAATGAAAAGTACTAAACCAACACCAAACTATGTTGAAAACCACAGAACCAACACTAAACTGGAATGAAATATTAAATCCAAACTTATGCGAGATGAAACTAAACCTACACCGAAGTACCGAAATCACTACACCAACACAACCGAATTGAAACACTAAAAATTGTGTCAATGATCAAACACCATAGACACAGACGCTAATTCAGGCACAATAACTGATAATGATAACCGCAACCAATGAACAAACACGGGCGACTAGAAGTTGATGTGTGATGGGCCGACCCAACCACTAGGCGAGTGAGGCATTTGCTTAAGGCCAACCCCCACTCACCCAAGTATTGCTCTAATACCAAGTGGAAACTTGAATAATTATATATTAGAGTTAAGGAAAATAATGAGAAGATGGGATTATGAAACAATATTACATGTAGGGTGAGTATTGCCAACACCCTATAACTTATTTATATTAGCTTGACACTGAAAACAATTACAATATTTGGGAAGTAGAAAATAATATGAAAACCACATAATAGGAAAGAAGAACAATAGGAAAGTAACACTCTTTAACATTAATGAATAGGGGGGTTTTGAGAATTGTCGAAAAGTGATGCCTGGTAAGTAATTTCTCCATTAGCCTTTTTATGCACATCACACTCATTTGTAAATTGCATTGTGCATTTTCTTTCTAAGTAGTGGCACAAGTTGCTCCATTGTGACATGTGCATCACGGGTTCAAGACATGGAAACAATATCTTTGCATGGGTAAGGTTGCGTACCTATGACCCTCCCCAAATATCGCTGGTGACAGCAGCCTAGTGCACTCAGCAACCATTTTCAATATTCTGAGTACAATTTGCTTTTCCTTATTTAATAAAAAAAATGTAATTTATTCAGTCCTACTGGTTGCATGACACCAAATCTCCACGACGACAGGACCATGGTGACTTGAGGATCTGATCTGTCTTGAGGCATTTTTCATCTCAACTCATTCCTCAAGTATAAACCTAGAAGTCAATTTAACATAGAACTTCTTTAAAAGTTCCCAATGGATTTGTACTGTACAGCATTTTTTGCATATAAAGTCTGCAACTATTTAACTAAGAAAGTTATACTCCGCCCACTGAGAATTTTATACCAATAGACGAAGGCAGGACAGAGGATGCAAAAACCAAGTACCTTTCTACAGATTTCATCACGCAAAGGTAAACATAGCAAACCTGGGTGTTTTCCTTAATCTCAACCCATTATTTCAGCAGCTTCCACAGTTTTAGTATCTTGCTCTTTTACCACTTTCAGCATGGGCCACATTCTGGTCGAATGCCATGGATTACCTGCCATCAGAAACAATGTTTCTATCACATAAAATCAGCCACCAAGATAGGAAACCCCCCCTCCCCCGCCAACAAAGCCGTCTTTCTCCCTCTTGAATAAGTTATACCACACATAATAAAGGTAAATTAGGGGGGAAAAACAAGGGTAGGAGGGAGGGGGAAAAGATTAAGGAATTTAGAGTTCAAGGTGGGTGCAGCTGTTCAAACTTCAAAAAGTTCATTTTTCACTTCTTAAGCAGCCACACAGATCCTAAAGGCACAATAGGTAACAGATACAAAGGTTAAAGCACAGAGAATACTACTTATCAAAACAAAACAATACATAGGCAAGGGAAAAAAGATTGAAGACACCACACTGATTTTTGAGAAAAGGAATGGGTAGTAGAATATTCAATAACTGTGAAACTAAGGAATGTTGCTGCTACTCTGTGGATGCATAAAACTACAGATGAAACACAAACAAATGTCTGATTACTAATCCCAAATATTGGCAAGAAAAATTAATTTTGCCTCATTGATACATGAGATACAACAGAACCCAAAATGTAGCTGCAAAAGCACCACAGGTTACTCTCAAACTATAAATCCTAAACAGCAAAAGACAGAGAAAAGAAGACAGAAGCATGAAATTATGCTTAGAAGCCTACATAAATGTCAGTTCCAAAAGGAACCATGCTGATTGAAAAAATACTCCAAAACTCAAAAAGATACGAATGTGAGAAGCATACAGCTTTTAATCATCTGTAAGAAAATCATATCATTTAACTAATGCACCAACTTTCTAGATCTAAAAAGCAGTCAAACAATCAATCTTCTCACTGAAAAAAAAATAATTAATTTTCCACTTTCCCATAGAGAAGTAGCAATTACAAACAATCGGACTGTTCAGTAGTCAGTCATCACATAAGCATTATCAAAATTCCAGAAGAAATTAAGTTCAGTCAACCCCCAATTCCGCATATATTATGTAAATATGTGATAATCTGCTTTACAGCTAATGTTTCTTCTCGTTGGACACACCATTCTCAATTCTGCCATCGAAGCCATGATAAGGAACTTCTATCATGGGTCTCGGGACAGGCCGGTCACCGAAGTCTTCCGGGAAAAATTCAAAATCAGGGCCAAAGTTGAATTTGACAAGACAATTGGGTTGATTGGGAAGAGTATACATGGAAGCTGCAGGATAATAACGACCACCATACAGATCCTTGAAAGCAACACCTTGACAAATCCCATTTTTGAAGAAGGATATCTCACTTCCTGCAAGCAGAAGCAATATTCCATAGAGAACATGATCAAAAAATCTCCCAATGCCACGATTACTTGTCAATGAATTTTCAAGTTTAAACGCAAAGTAATAAACCCTGCTTCCAACAAAAATTCCGTGAAACATCAGCCACCACTAAACAGAGAGTCTCTAAAAGAGCAGCATTTTTAACATTGACAGACCTCAGGACGTATGGAAAATGAACTGTAATCTCGCTTTGAGCAAAAAAAAACCCACATCTTCAGTGTGGTAGCTAAGATGCATGTTAAATGCTTTCCAACATAAAATCCCATGGCCACAACTGATTTCAGATTTATTCTGTTGAAGATTGTGTTTTTACAGTGTTATAAGAAAATCTTGGGATTTTACTATTTTCAATACTCGACTCTACAACGCTCCTTACATGGAGAACAAACTCCAACAGAGGGGAACATGTATCTAAATATTTTAAATGCAGGAACCAAACAATCATATGTTACACGTGTATTATGTGCATATGTGGATATATGTATGTGCGTGAGTGTATCTATATACAATGGAATATAGCAGTTCGTCATTTTACATCCATACCCACTGGGTAAGAGAGATGGTTGTATCAACAGATTTTAGCTTTCCACACTCTAGCTACAAATGCAGAATAACAGTTGAATCTGAACATGGGAAAGGATGCAAATGCCAAAATCAAGGCAAAAGTACAAATATCATACTTAACTTCATGAAAAATATATATCCCTCTCGCTAAATGACCTAACTGAGTAATGGTATAAGAGAGTCGGCTCTTCTTATAGTCCAAGGGATAAATTCCAGATCGTTAGTTTCTTGCAAAAATGACCACATTTGGACTTTCTTTGAAAATCATTTCTTTAAGGAAAAATTTTAACTACACACCTTCTAGTTTATCATATCTTCAAAGACACCCCCCACTATTTTCTGAATCTTCATTGACACCCCCTATCAGATTAAAAACTTTGACTAAAATACAATTTTACCAAATCGCCCATGACATATTTTAGAAAAAACTTCATCCACACCCCCTCTAGATAGTCATATCTTCAATGAGATTCCCTCTGTTTTATGAATTTTTTTTATGTATTAAATTCAAGTCGATTAAAATTTGATTTAAGTTGATTAAAATTTGTTTTTAATCAGCTCAAATCAAATTTTAATAAACTCGCATTGAATTTTATCGGCCCAAATTTTGATACGTAAAAAAATATAAATTCTAATCGACTCAAATTGTAATACATAAAAAACAAAGTTTAATCAACTAAAATCAAACTTTAATTGGCACAAATTTTAATAAGTAAAAAAATATAAATTGTAATCGACTCGAATCAAATTTTAATCGACACTAACAGCTCATGTTTTGCTCAAATTGACTCGAATTTTAATACTTTAAAAAAAAAAAAATTAATCAACTAAGCTCAAATTTTAATATGTAAAAAGATGAATTTTAATCGGCTCAAATTTTATTTAATATAGAAAAAATAAATTTTAGCTGCCTTAAATTTTAATCGAATTTTATGTAGAAAGATTGTTTGAAATTTATGTAGGGATAATTTTTGTATTTTAGATAAATTTTTTTGTTAGAAATTGTGGTTTAACGGCAAGGAACATAGTTGTTAGTATCATACAATACGCGATACGCATCGTACGATATGTCATGATACAAGAATAAAATGATACGGATCGTAGTTCTATATCGTTTTTGCGTTGTATCGTCCGATACACGATACATTTTTACGATAAGTGCAAAGACTATTTTTTTTTTTTTTTTTTTTATGAAATGATATTTTTTTGTGCTAAGAGACTGATTTTTTTATCCCGTTTCAGTGGTTAGGGTTTACAAAAAAAAAAAAATCCCTCTTTACCTTCTTCGTTGGTTGGTTGGTCTTCGGCTCCGAGTGTTCACTACCATCGCTGGTCTTCAACTCTGGTCTGGGTGTTCTTCAGCCTTCGGTGACTCCTCCTAGTCCTGGGTGTTCGCTCGTCTTCGACTTTGGTCCTGGGTGTTCTTCAACCTTCAGCGAGTGTTCGATTGGGTGTTCTTCAATCGCGATCTTTCACTCTCTCTCAGTCTCTCGTCCTTTTTTTTTCTTTTCTTATCAGGCAAGAAGGAAGTCAGTCAGTCTCTGTTATGTTATAGGAAAAATTATACTTAGACCCCTTAAGATTTGTTACTTAATCACTTAGACCCCCTAACATTTAAAATATTATACAAAGACTCCCTAAAATTTATACACACGTAACACTTAGACCCCTATTGTAAATATATCCGTTAATAAATTACATCTAGACACCCTAAAATTTGTAAACATATATTTTATTATTAATTATTTAAAAATACACCGTATCTTACGATATACTATTTTTAAAAAACGATACGTCTTCCGATACACGATTTGATAACTATGGCAGGGAGTATCAGTGATATTTAAATATAAACTAGAAGGGGTGTCAATGATATTTTAGATAATAAAAAGGGTGTCCTTGAAAATATGGTAAACTACAAGAGGTGTAGTTAAAATTTTCCATTTCTTTAATTAAACTTCCTTTTTCCCTTGACCACAATCCCCTAATGTTTCAACTCATTATTTTCATTGCAAACTATCTACACCCACCTCTATCCTCCTAGAACCCCTTCCCTCATAATTAACCGATGGTAGATTCCTAAGCTCACAAGCTCCCCTATCCTTTCAAACATTGCTTCCTTATCCCCTCTTCTTGGCTTTCTTTTTCTTGTTTTGTCTCGATAAGAGCCTTTCTTTTTCTTATAGACCAAAGAAAGGTCCATTTTCTCCAAAAAAATCTTAATAATTTTCCATTTTTTCCTCAATAGACAAAAAGTACCTATCCTCCATTTCCGACTAAGAATTAATAAAGTAACATTCACTCTACACTCCACAAACTTGACAAAGGAATCTCTGAAGTCTGAACACTGTCAACCTGAGCTCTACCCGCCCAAAAAGTCTGTCCCACATACCACCGGGTACCTTTGTTGTGAACCACTGCTGGCAGTTAACATCATTTCCTTGTACAAATCTGTACCTTCTTCATTTATAAAATACTCACATAGATGTCCCACTTGTATTCTTTGAGCTGAGAGCAACCTAAATTATAAATGAAGTAAAAAGTTATGGTTTAGGTTTATTGGCAGTGTAATTTTAGACATTTTGCATTAGATCCACAACAATGCAAGTGTTTGACACTTGCACAAAGTAATAGTCTAGGTCCATCAATAAGGTTTCCCAAGGAAATTTAACAATCACAAACCCATTGAATTATAAATTTAAGGTGAAAAGCATTAAAGTGTCCCCATATCACCCTACATTGTGACGTTATAGAAGACAATAGTATAACGTCAATCTACAATGAACCTTGGACCTAAGGAACAGCAAAAAAATATAGCTGCAGATAAAAACTTCAATTCAAAATGCATTGATTAAACATTACAAAAACAACAGGACAAACGATAATGACAACAAAGCAAGGAACTCTGAATGTTATACATGAAACTAACTTCGACAATATGGACACTCTGTGCTTGGGAGTCTAATTGCATGCTTATGCAATCCAACAGAACTATAGATATACAGCTACGAAAACCTATCAAAGTATATACAGCACATAAAAATTGAAGTTCACAATAGCCGAATATCAAAACCAGCAAATGAGCAAGATTTCAAGCAATAAGTGGCATTCAAAGAAAACAGATGAGTTACTCGATCCCAATATAATAACTTATTTAGTAAGACCCACATACTGAAAATTCATAATCACTCACCAGGCACTACTTTTGGAGGATCTTCTTTTGAATCTGGTGCACACACATACCTTTGTCCCTTATACCAAACCAAATGGGGTGGCTTTGGCGCATACGAATTCCCCTCTGGCAAATTGATGTAAAACCCAATAACATCACCTTCTTTATACCCTTCCTCACCATACTTCTCCCTCAAAGCCTTATGTATCTTAGTCCCATCAATGTCCCTATACCCAAAACTATTCCCATCATACCCAACAGGCGCCTGTAAGTCCCCTTTCTCTGTTGACCACCCGAGTCTGGTATGCCCTGTCTCACCTAGTTGCACCACCTTAATCTCAAAATACCATGTCCCCTCCATTACCCCCCTTGTGGCCCTTACCATTCTGTACCCTTTTGTACTCCCAGCACTCAATCTATCCTCGCTCAATTCAACCTTTTCAGCCTTGTAAACCTTCGAAAGACAGATTTCCATATCCGGGCTATCATCATTCTTATCAGGAAACCTCGGAATTGGAGTGATCAAAACTGTATCCTCTGTTTGGTTGTTATGGTTATTGCACTTGATTTTCTTTTTACCTTTTCTTGATGTGGATTTCGTCCACACATTGTTGCCCTTCTTCTTCGATTTCTTGCTTGAAGCAACGGACGGTTTTGGCATTGCTGTTGTGGGTTGTGTTGTTGGTATAGGAACTGCCGCTGTTTCTTGAGATTCTTGGCGTTCTGGTTTAGGTGTGACCGGCGATGTCAACGAGGAGAGTTGTTTTTGCTTTTTGGGAGGTGGGTCTTCGTCTTCGTCTTCCTCCTCGTCTTCGGTTTCGGAGACTTTGGTGAATTTGGGCGAATCTTTGAGGTTTTCTGAACCTTCTTGGGGTTCTTGAGTTTGTGGGTTGTCCTCGTAGATTTCCTCAGAAGATGGGTAGCCAATGGGTTCTTCTTTGATGCCATTTAGAGGTTCAGGTTCGGTATCTGGGGTGGTAATTGTGGTGGGGGTAACGGTGGTCATAGTGGTGCTGGGTCGGATAGGTTCAGTGAGACCATTGCTGGTGGTGCTGGTAGTGTTGTTGTTGGAGGAATCTTCATCATCTTCGTCTCTGTAAGTGGCCTTAAGGGAGTCCATATTGGAGAGAGAGGCGAAGGCTATTTGTTAGGGTTTGTTGATAGACGAAATCGCCATCGACAAGCAGACTCGTTCTTAGTGAAGCAGACAAAGCCTTTGAACTGATGATTGGGCTTGAGGGACTGTAAGGTGATAGAAACCCACTAAAAAACTGGACACGTGGGTTTGAACTTTTTCCATGACCTTGGACCATCTTGTAGGATCCATTTGTTTAGAAAGAAACGGATAATGGGACTGTGATCTCTTTCGACACAATTTTTCTCTATTTTTTTTTTAATATTATCATTGTATATAAGTCTTTTCGTTCACTTGTAAATTAAAATATTCTGAGTTTAAATATTAGTAAGTCATTGTGCTAGATTATGAGAAATCTCTCATGAATATCCTAGTCCCGACTAACCAGACTAGATAGATAATTAATTAAAATACGTATAAATTTAACCAGACATTTATGACTATTAAACTAAAAAAAAAAAATTGATTCTCAAGTGAAAAAAGGGATAAAAAAAAGTGTTAGAACGATCTGGATCTCAAATATGGGTGAGGAAAAGTTAAAAAAGAAAGGGAAATTTTTAAGAAAAAATTTGTTTTAAGGCAAGAACTTGTTAGCAAATTAACACCAAACTTTTCTAGTCTTGCATTATGAGGGAGTTTGGTGTTTATTCGTAAAATGTCCATAATAAATTTTTCGTTTTCTCAAATAATTATTCATAACTCCCTCTATTTTCTTGCTTGTGAAACTAGTTTATCCTAGTCCCAAGTATTATTGATTAACAGTGCTTTTGGGTAGTCAATGCAACTGAATTGCTAGTTAATTTACTCATCATAACTATTCATGAAATATTATCTATCATTTTTTCCCAAATAACCACGTAATTCTCTATATTTTTTTATAATGTAATATGTTGCCCAAAAGACTCCACAAAATCTATTTTAATGGGCCTGGTCTAGAACAAGGTCAGATCACAGATGCAAACTAATAAAGGCTTAATCACAATTTTAGTTGGGACAATTTTTCTGAGAGACCCAACACATCGTCAACATACGTGAAAATTTCTATCCGAGAAGAGAGAATCCATGGGAATACAATCAGCGAAGGCACGTCACTAGTCTCGCGAAATCACTTCGTCCATTACGAGATAAAACGAATCTCAAGCAATTGCACCGCTATCACCTCACCCAGTACGAGGATAAGGCAAACTTCACACAAAATCACTTCGCTTCCTGTTATGAGAATGGCACCCCTATTATGAGCATAACACCTCAATCAGAGCTCCTAAAAGTCAATTTCACTTTCCTATAAATTATAAGCCCACTTGCATATAGGAACATCACTCACATCT